GATAGGGTGACTAAGTTAGAGACGGGTGAGACGACTTCCACTGACGATGTGGGCCATGATGCCCCTTAGGTTTATTTTTCCTTTTCTCATGTATTTTGGGGGCCTACGATGCCCTTTCATGGCGTGTGTGCCTTTCTTGTACCCGATACTTAGCCGCCTGAGGCTTTTTTATTTATCTTATATTTAGCCGTTAAAGGCTTTGTGTTTCTGCTTGTGTTTCCATTTTGCTGCTTTCCTCGTGGATGGATGAGTTGATTGCTTGTAGATGTATGGAGGTTGAACCGACTACTTGTACTGTGATGTGGACGAGGCCAAGTGGCTGAGTCGCCAGTGTCGTGGCAGCGTGTCGGTACGGTCGACCGGATATGTAAGCCATTAAGTTGCTAGGTCGGTCTGAGCCATTCGGTGGTGTAAGTCGATGAATCGGTCTAAGCTGATTAAAGGTATAAGTCGATGAATAAGTCTGAACCAATTGAATATGTAAGTTTATGAATCGGTTTGAGCCGATTGAAGGTGTAAGCTGATGAATCGGTCTGAGCCGATTGAATGTGTAAGCTGATGAATCAGTCTGAGTCGATTGAAAGTGTAAGTCGATGAATCGGTCTGGGTCGATTGAAGGTGTATGCTGATGAATCGGTCTAAGTCGATTGAAGATGTAAGTTGATGAATCGGTTTGAGCCGATTGAAGGTGTATGCCGATGAATCGGTCTGAGCCGATTGAAGGTGTATGTTGCTCTATCACTGAATAGTTCTTTTATTGAATTCAGGCCATGAGGCCGACTGATGGTGAAAGAGGTGGATAGGCCCATTCATTCTTTTTTAAAAACAAAAACAAGAAAACAGAAATGTCAAGGAGAAAGTCTGACTAAAAATAGTAATGTTTGAGATGGATTACATTCCAACTGTTACTGATGTCTTTACCCTCGGGGGTTTGGAGTCTGTAGGCGCCCTTCCCAACTTTCTTGGCGATCTTGTAGGAACCCTCCCAGGTAGGGCCGAGCTAGCCAGAGTTGATGTCCTTAGTGTTTTGAAAGACTTTGTGGAGGACCTAGTCTCCTAGTTTGAAAGTTCTGACTTGGACATTAAGGTTGTAGTGCCGAGCGGCCTGCTGCTGGTAGATTACATTGCGGATGTTCGCTCGCTCGTGTAGTTCGTTGACTGTGTCCAAGTTCTGACAAAAGTTCTAGCTGTTGGCTTCTTTGTTTGACCATTGGAGTCTGGTTGAGGGGACCGATACTTTGGCTAGGATGACTACTTCATATCCATATATAAGGGAGAAAGAGGTTTCGCCCGTGGACGAGCGGGATGTTGTCCGGTAGGACTAGAGGACCTTGGGTAGTTCGTCTACCCATGCATCCTTGGCTTTCTAGAGGCACTTCTTTAAAGTCTGCATGCTTGTTTTATTTGATGACTCAGCCTGGCCATTTGATTGGGGGTTGCGGGAGGCAGAGAAGCTGAGCTTGATCCCCTACATGTCGCAAAAGTCTTTGAAGCCTGAATTGATGAATTAGGATCCATTGTCGGTGACTATTTCCTTCGGTATTCCAAATCAACAGATGACGTGTTTCCAGATGAAGGCTTTTACCTCTCGGTCTCTGACGTGGGTGAGTACTTCGGCTTCAATCCACTTAGTAAAGTAGTTAGTGACAGCTAACATGAAGACCCGCTGCCCGGGTGTGGTCAGGAGTTTTCTGACTATATCCATCCCCCACTTCATGAATGGCCAAGGTGTGAGAGTGGAGTTGAGTCGCTTAAGTGGGAGGTGTGAGACATGGGCGAACCTCTGACAGTTGTCACATATCTTCACATAGGCTACTGAGTCAGTGTGTATGGTTGGCCAATAGTAACCAGTGGTGATCACCCGGTGGGCAAGGCTGCATCCTCTTGCATGGTTTCCACATTCTCCTTCATGGAGTTCGGCGAGAACTTGCTTGGCTTCTTCTGGGCTTATGCCTTTAAGGTAGGGGCTAAAGAGTGACTTCCTAAGGAGTTAGCCCTCGTATATGGTGAATCTTGCGGCTTTCACTCTTAGTCGACATGTTTCACTCTTGTCAGTTGGGAGCTCATTATGTTCCAAGTATTTGAGTATTGGGGTCATCCAGGAGTTGGCCGGTTCGACATCCATTACTTCTTTGGGCAACTTGTTTATTGGGTGTTCCTTCCAAGCGACTGGCCATTGGAAGAACAGTAGTGTAATGGACGATTAGGAGGAGCCTTGAAGGGTTGAGCCGAGGTTGGCAAGGGCATTAGCATGGGTGTTCTCTGCTCTTGGGACTTGGGTGATGGATAATTCTTTGAAGGCAGTCTGCATTTCTATGACCAAGTTCAAGTAAGCTATCATCTTCGAGTCTCGGGCTTGGTAAGTGCCTTGTAGTTGGTTGACTACGAGTTGAGAGTCGGATTTTACCTCCAACTTCCTTACTCCAATCTCTTTGGCTAGAGAGAGTCCAACGATGAGAGCTCCATATTTGGCTTCATTGTTTGTGCACTTGAACCCACATCGTATGGCTCGTTGGTTGATATCCCTTTCTGGTGTAATAAGTACAACGCCAAGCCCACTTCCATTCACGTTGCTTGAGCCATCTACTGAGAGAGTCCACTTCGAATGCGATCCGCTGTTCATGCACAATAACTCCTTTTTTGCCTGGATGGTGGTGTTCGGGGTGAAATCAACAATAAAGTCTGCCAGTGGAAAGATATATCAAACTCACTAAGCTCTACTATCTATTGTGTGAGTTAGCCTAATAACTTTGGCTTATGGAGTATCTTCTTGAGTGGGAAGGAGGTGAGGACGACTATGGAGTGGTATTGAAAGTATGGTATGAGCTTCCTGGATGCATCGATGAGGGCGAGTGCCAGTTTCTCCAGCTGCCTGTATCGTGTCTCAGTATCGAGGAGTGATTTGCTTTCATAGTAAACCAGTAGCTACTTCGCATTGTCTTCCCAGACTAATACTGCTGAGATGGCTGTCTTTGAGACCGCCAAATAGGTGTAAAGCTTTTCCCCAACCACGGGCTTGGAAAGGAGCGGAGGAGAGGTTATGTACCTCTTTAACTATTGTAGGGCCTCCTCATAGGTGGGGGTATACTCAAATTTCTTGGATTTCTTGAGTGTGACGACGAAATGGTGGCACTTGCCAGCGGATCTGGAGATGAAGTAGCTCAAGACAGCTACTCATCCCGCGAGGTGTTGGACATCTTTGATGCAAGTTGGTGATGGTATGTTGAGGATCGCCTAGATTCGGTTAGGGTTGGCTTCTATCCCATGCTGAGTTACCATGTATCCCAAGAATTTTCCTGATGAGACCCCGAAAAAACATTTGGCTGGATTCAGCTTCATGTTGTACTTGTTAGTAAACGGTCCCGAATACGCAGCGGAAACGAAAAATTAATATAACAGGATCGTTTACATGAGCCAAGATCAAGGGTATGATTTTAACAATTTATATTAAATTAAAATCTGCATAAATATACAACATGAGTTAAGAGAAACAAACGCACGTTGAAGGCTCCTCCAAAATTTGTCGTCGAACGTTTTGCTANCCAGATTTTTCGTTATTCTGACCAGTGCTACGTTTTTCAGGTTTTTCAGGGAGCTAGATTCCTCAATTGCAAAGGAGGTGCTGCTTGGCCATAAAGAACTTGACGAGCATGTCGTCAACGTATACTTTCATGGTCTCTCTGAGGTGTTTGACAAACATTCTGTTGACCAACCGTTAGTAGGTGGCCCTGATGTTCTTAAGACCAAAAGACATTACTTTGTAGTAGTAGTTCACCTCTCTGTGATGAAGGTTGTTTTCTCCTGGTCGTCTGTGTGCATCAAAATCTGATTGTACCCTAAGAAGGCATCCATAAAACTTAGGAGTTTATGATCTATTGTCGCATCGACCATCATGTCGCTATGTGGGAGTGGGAAGGAGTCCTTGGGGCATGCTTTGTTCAAATTCGTGAAGTCTATGTAGACCCTCCACTTTCCGTTCTTTTTCTTCACGACCACAACGTTTGCTAGCCAATTAGGGTAGTGGACTTCTCTTATCAGTCCGTTACTCAGTAGTTTGTCAATCTCTTCATTGACAACCTAGTTGTGTTCTGGTGCAAACTTCCTTTGCCTTTGCTTCACTAGAGGGTGATCTGGATCTGTGTGGAGGTGGTGGATGATTGCCTTGGGGCTGACTGTTGTCATGTTCGCGTGGGACCAGGTGAAGTAGTCTTGATTTTGTTTAAGGAAATCTATAAGTCGTTCTCTTATTTTAGGCCTAAGGCGAGAGCCTATCTGGGTCTTTCGGTTGGGGTGATCCAGATGTATCTATACTTTATCCAACTCTTCCATGGATGGTTGATCTGACTCGGTCGAAGGGGTTAGATGGGATTGTAGTTGCTATGAAGCATGACCTTTGCCTTTGAAGGCGTTTTTGTAGCAGTCTCTAGAGGCCTTAGGATTGCCCTTGATTTCTCTTACTCCCCATTTTGTTGGAAACCTGATAGTTTGATAGAAGGTGGATGAGATAGCTCGCATGTCGTGGAATCAGGGTCGACCTAAGATGACGTTGTATGGTGAGGGGCAATCGAGCACTAGGAAGATGGTTTGCTTGTTAACTCCGCTGGCGTAGACAAGTAAGGAAATTTCACTAATGGTGTACTTCTGCTCAGAACTAAACCCGACCGATATGGTTGGTTATCTGCTGATGTTTGATTCATCCAGTCTCATGGCCTTCACTGCTTCAAGGAAGAGGATGTTTGTTGAGGATCCCTCGTTTACGAATACTCTCTTGACTAGGATGTTGGCGATCTAGAGGGAGATGACCAAAGCATCATGATGAGGGGCGACAAGGGTGACTGGCTCGTCATCTTCAAACTAAATGACTTGGTTGGTCTACACCCGAGGGGATGGATGAATGGACCAGACTTCTAGGTGATGGTTGGCTTGGGCATAGCACTTGGCTGAGGAATAACTCACCCTACTGATTTCTGACCTTCTAGAGATAATAGAGTAGAACCTTTTTAGTGTTGGTTCTCGTGGAGGGGGAGATGTTTCTTTCGAGCTTCTTTGCCGACTGTATTCTTCGCTTTCTCTGTCAATAAGTCTTGGAGATGTCCCATTTTCAGTAGTGCTATGACTTCCAATCTTAGGGCAATGCAATCGACGGTGTTATGACCATGATCGCCGTGGAATTCGCACCACTTGGTCGTGTCCCTCTTTGCGTCGAGATTGAGCTTGGGTGGCCACTTTACAGTAGGTCTCATTCCTTTCATGATTGCCACGACATGGGCTGGTTCGACGTTGAGGTTATACTTTAGAACTTTGAATTGGTTTGATCCAGATAGTCTATTTTCGGCTCTAGTTGACTGGCAGTCGTATGATTTTTTTATTCTGCTCGAATTGCGGGGAGGGGGCTCAAACGATCTGAACTCTGGCCTTCTTTCATTCTGCCTTTGGTGACGGTCATCATATCTGGCATGCCTCATTCGATTCACCTCATCTTCCTCCCACCTGATTTGGATCACAACTCTGGCTAAGGCGTCTTCTATTGTGGTGCAGCCGAGCTTTGTCAAGTCTTTGTATAGTTCTCCATTTGGGAGGAGGCCCTTTCTGAAAGCATCTACCACTGTTTCTGGATTATAGGATGGGATAGAGATTTTTTCTTTGTTGAATCTGCTGACGTACTCTCTCAACGACTCCCCCCTCTTCTGGTAGACTATGTACAGGTCAGCTGATAACTTCTCTAGTTTCTTGCTACTGGCGAATTGTTCAACGAAGGTGTCAGTGAGTTGGGAAAATGAGTTGATTGAGTTGTTTGGAAGGTTAATGTACCATTGAAGGGCTGGTTTGGAGAGGCTTGAGCCGAAGCTCTTACACATGCAGGCTTCCCTTAGTGTTCGGGGTATCGAGGTAGCAAACATCCGCTGCTTGTATGAGGCTATGTGGTCATCCGAGTTGGTTGTGCCATCGTAAGGCTTCATGCTAGTGATGGTGAATTTGTGTGGCATCTCGGCTAGTGCGATTGCATCCACAAAGGGTAAATCGGTATAGCAGTGAAAGGGTGAATCGACATAGCAGTGAGGTTGGCTCTTTTTGGTTGGGATTGGTACTCTAGGTATACGCCTCATCATCGCCTTTATGTTAGCCAATCTTTTGGCCAATATCTGCTCCATGGGCGAGGCAGAGGCCACCAGGTCGGCCTGATTGGCTTGGTTGGTCATGTGATTCACACTTGATACGTTTCTTTGGGTCAAGTCACGTGGGGTAGCTTGGCGAACCATTCCATCATGTACCGCTTGGTAACTCGGATCTCCATTCATTCCCTCCGGTTAGATGGTTCCCATTGTGACTAATCGGGTGTTTCAGCCTGCATGGATGGTTAGAGGGGTTATTTGGGAGTCGCTCAGTCCGTGGGGATAGATGGAGTCAAGTGGGGTGGATTAAAGGTGAGGGAGCCCACTCGACCCACGAGGATGAATCGAGCCAAATGGGGTTTGGGTAGGAATGGTTGATTGGAGATGAGACGGGATGGCAAAGATGGGTGGCTCTTGTTGTGGTAGGCTTTCTGTAACTTGGATGTCTTGATCTCGTGCTTAAAGCAGGTCGACCGAGAGTGGCTCCATTGGTAGTCCCCGCACAATTGGATTTAGGGCTGAATCGTCCACTAGTGATGAATAGAGTTGTTGCGATCTTGTATCCAAGATCGTTGGTCTATGATCTAGAGTCTGGAGAGGCTGCATGAACGGAACTGATGTGTGGAAATGATTGGGTTATACCTAACAAGACTGAAGCTCAAGGTCATAAAATTGACCTACCTTCTCTTTTACAGACTAGTTTTCGGCCCGGATGGAGGCATTTTCGGTCTAGATGGCGGTGTTTTCAGCTTCCAATGCTGCCACCTTGTCTGAGTGTTGTTGCATAAGGGCAGTTAAAGCTTCGAGTCTGGCCTCGAGGCTAGGATTGGTGTTATCTGAATTTTCAATCATAGGGAGTTTCCTTATAAAGTAGGGTTTGAAAGATGAATGATTGCCAGAGACCCCACGGTGGGCGCCAAACTATAGATGCAAAAAAATATACCTTTATGAAAATAGGGTCTAATCCCATGAGGTTGAGGCCACTAGCAATCTGCTGTACCTGCACACGTAAGAAAACAAGCGTGGAGCGAACAGGAAACACCGGAGTGGTGTTTGTCATAGGCACTTTGACGCTCAAGTCAGTAAGGTCGAGTAAGGCTAATTTAGTGAGGGTTAGGGAGAGAGAAGCATGAAGAAAACACCGCTGTACCTAAACACGCAAGAAAACAAGCGTGAAGCGAACGGGAAACACCGGGGTGGTTTTTTCGTAGGCACTTCGACGCTCAAGTCAGCAAGGCCGAGTGAGGCTAATTTAGTGAGGGTTAGGGAGAGAGAAGGTTACCAAAAGTCTAGTCAAAGACTATAACTACGGTTGTGATGCGAAATTCTCGAGAGTGAGAACTGCAGGGTCTGAAGGCGTAATGTTTGTGTCCCTTGTGAGAGGGTTGACCTCTGTTTAAATAGCGATTGTAGGATCTTCAAATCCTGGTAGGACTGTGAGTCCTTGGAGTTGAGGTTTTGTGAAAAAGGAGAACATTTGGCTTCCTTACCTTAGTATGAAAGGGAGTCCCAGTGGGTCTAAGACACGGATCTTAGCTGAATTAGGATAGTGATGGACCTCTTTGATAGAGTTTGGGTAGTACCAAGGTAAGTAGGCGACCCTTGGCTCCAAGTAGATCTTAAGTCTAGAAGGTGGTCTAGGATCATAGGGCTTGGGCCTAGATAAACCGACGGTGAGGCCTAAATGAACCGGGCTTGTGGTGATTGGGTCTAAGTAGTGGGCAACTGGGTAGGTGTACCAAACGGACCTGGTGGGCGAAATCGGTTGCGGGCCCAATCGGAATTGGGCCATGATTCCGAGCTTTGTTGAAGGTGTCTTCGTCTTTGGGCCTATTTGGGCCGAAGACATTTTTTGGCCCTAACATGAAGGGATTGATATTTTGTATTCTTCATATTAATGAGATTCCTATAAATGTAGAAATATATTTATGTTTTGGTACATCATTAACAGAAATAAAGAGAGGTGCTCAATCTTTAATTTGTATATATTTGATATGTTTTGTTACTGTCACTTTATTGACAATATTTTTTATTGTAATTTGATGTAGGTATATACGATTGGTGGAAAGAAGAAACTTCTCCTCATAGTTACAATATAGTTCCTGCTAAAGGTAATAACTCTTTTGTAGTAATATAGGTTCTGCTTAATGTAATGTCCTGTATTCTTTTGCTAAAACATCAATTTCACTACATAATTATTATGAGAAGTCATTTGGTGAACCATAATATTGGCTGTTGAATTGTAAGAAGTCAATAGTCGAATAATGCCGAACCATTATCCTGTCTAATATTTCTGTAAATAAAATGTACATGTCGAACCATGCGGACTCATTATTTTGTTTACAATTGTGATGTAGGATTGTATTAAGTCATCTGCTGATCCATTTTGCGCTAAAGGTAATAACTCTTTTGACTATTGAGTAGTACTATAGCTTCTGTTAAATGTAATTTAATGTCTCGTATTCTTTTTTTTTTTTTTTTTTTTTTTGCTAAATGTAATTTAATGTTCTGTATTCTTTTGCTAAAACATCAATTTCACTGCCAAATTATGAGAAGCCATGTGGTGAACCATAATAGTGGATGTTGAATTGTAAGAAGGCATTAGCCGAACCTGCCGAACAAGTATTTTGTCTAACATTTTTGTAAAATAAATCCACATGTTGAACCAATAATCGAAAACCAAAAATCAGAAGAATAATTTGTAACCAAACTACAGTAAATCACACAAACAATGATGATCGGATTTGAGGGTTTTTTCATTAAATAATTAGAATAATATCCGTTTACAAATTTGTCCATAAGTTAACAAATTTTATTGTGTATATATAATGTCTGTATTTATTGGTTACGGGCTCACGGCAATGAAAAGTTTGACACGTTTTAGCTTCAAAAGCCAATATGAGAATAGGTGTAAAGGGATTCATCTTTTTCAACTCTTAACAGTTTGTCAATAAAATCAATAAAATTTCATTACATATACACACTATTATTTAAAAATTATATACATTGATAATTTAGATTGATGAATGAGAAATAATGTATGCATATGGTACTATATATATATTGACTTGATAAATGAATAATATGATATACAGTTATACACAATACATTATAGACGCTGTCATCTCTTTATAAAAATTATCACTTCTTTATTAAATTAATGTATTGATTGTTTAAATATCTCTCTCTCTCTATATAAATATTTAATATATTTTTTAATCTCTTATTTTTGTCAGTTTTAGGATACTATTTATATTGTATAATTTCCTAACTATATTAGTATATTTTGTAATTTATAACTAACATAATTAGAAGATTCAGTAGATCATCTCCAACCTATATAATGTTTGTACTTTTATAGTAGATATCAACCAATTGAAACATCTAATTATTCAAACAAACATGGTATCAAAACTCAAAACCACTTTCATAAGTTGCGCAGACTAGGGCTACAAACGAACCAAACTGTTCGCGAACAGCTCGATGTTCGTTCGATAACTGTTCGACTCAACTTGATAATAAACTGTTCGCGAACAGTTCGATGTTTGTTCGATAATATGTTCAATTCGAGTTCGAACATGGGATGTTCGTTCAATTATGTTTGTGAACATTATACGTTCGATTGATCCATCCGTTCGCGAATAATCTGTTTGATTATTCGTTCATTTATGTTCGAAAAACATGGTATACATTATTATAATTTATATTTTTTTTATTTTTATATTATGTTTGGTTTAGTTTGGATGAATTTTTTTTTATGGTAATCAATAATAAAATATTATGATGCTTTTGTTTTTCTTATATATATAATATCTTTGGATTTTTTTTTTCCCAAATGTTATCAATAATTAAATATATAAGTATATAGTATTTTAATTAAAAAGTAATAAATTAATATGATGCATAGCATGACAAATTTAATAACATAATAGATTGTATAATCAAGTGATATATGATATAGCAAATCCAATAATATAATAGCTTCATATTTTTCCAAATGTAATCAATAATTAAATATTATAAGATATCATTTCAATTAATAAATAATCAATATAGTATGGTAAATTGATGAACATAACATATTGTATAATCAAATGATGTATAGTAGAATAAATTTAATAATATAATGGCTTAGTTAAATATAGTATGGTAAATTGATGAACATAACATATTTTATAATTAAGTGATATATAGCATGACAAATTTAATAATATAATAGCTTAATTAAATATAATATGACAAATTTATGAACATAACATATTGTATACTCAAGTGATATATAGCATGCCAAATTTAATAACATAATAGCTTAATTAAACCTAAATTAATCACACATTTGTATTGATCATATAATACAATAAACCCTCATACCACTAATGATTTAATTATTTTAATGGTTTGATGTTTATTCTAACTTAATTTTTTTTTTTCCTTTGTGTATTTTAGATAGAGGAGCAATTGGAGATTGATCTTCCCATCAATTGAATCAAGTATATTGATATATGATTACTTTTTTAAGTGTAGCCATATTTAAAATCAGTCTATTATTACTAATGATTTTCAATTTTTTTTTTCTTTTGTATGTTCACACTATGTACTATATAGTGGCATGTTCACTCTTGTTGGAATCCTTTTGGTTGTGCTGTATTGTTTATGCAAAATGCAAATTCCTTTTGTTTGTGTCATGTTTGATATTGAACCAAATTTGTTTTGAACGATTTATTGTTCTGTTAAATTTATTTTGAAGTTTTATTATTTATGATGGCTACTTATTTTAATTTATTGAGTTTTTATTGATTTATTTAAAATATAAATATAGATAGAGAGTTGGTTTATTTTCAAATGCTGAATTAAATGGTTATGAATTATAAATTGTTGTATATTTTTTTTTTAGAGCATGAATTGGAAAGTTGGTGTATATTTTTTATTTGAACAGGTATTTAAAAGTTATCGAACGAATTATTCGAACAGATATTTATGAGTTAGTCGAACGAGTTAGTCAAACGAGTTAAGTCGAACGATCACGAACTGATCGTTTTGTTAATCAAACGAACTCGAACAGTCATCTTGTGTTCGTTCGAGTTTGAACACAAATTCCTTCATGCTTATCGAATGAGTTTCAAATGGGAGTGTTCGTTCGTGTTCGGTTCGATTACAGGCCTAGCGCGGACCTTTCAACTTGTTAT